TATTGCGTAATACTTGATTTCCTGATATAGCTGGTACAAATTACGCGATCTGTAGTGTTAGTTTTTGTTTATGACATTCATTTTTTTTGCGATAATTACATTATTAGTAAAAAGGCAGCTTCGGAAAATTATTAGAACCTCGTCACGGCGACTTCGGAGATTATTATAATCTCGCCACGGCGACTTCAGAAAATTATTAGAATCTCGTCACGGCACACGGAAACATTATAAATTCTGTGTGTGTACTATGGGAAAATTTCTAAAATCATAAAAAGTCATCACGTTTATACGCCAATTGTTAACATGTATTAAATGAGTACACTAATTAATATGAATGTGCTTGTTACAAAGTATAAATGCGCAATCAATATATTTAGATTAACATACACGTCCTATATGAATTCACCTATAAGATTGTCCCCCTTATCCAAAATGTAAATATCTCCGTTTACCTCAAAGAATCCAACAACTCTCCTTATTGTTCTTACATCAATAAATTCACACCGTCCAAAGTTGTGAAACTTCTTGATTCCAAAAAGAGGACGTTCTCTTCTTTCGTCTGGAACATTTGCCCATCTTACATAAGCGAGCATGACAGTTGCGTTTTCATGAGTATGACCAAAGTACCATAGCACTTGACCATAAAAGATTTTGGTAATAAACATTGATTTTTTTTGACGACCTAAAATTGGAACTTGTAATTCATACTTTTCAAATTAAATATAATTAGTATAGAGCAAATATAACCAATGCAATATAATAATATGAAATCTTACTGCAATACAGCCATTGTTTCTTGATATATCAGTTTTTTTAAAAGACATTTCTGATCTGATCATATACCCCTCTTTTGTACGTAATCGTGCATATTTTTGTCCATTATTTTGCAACTATAATTAAATACAAAAAATGTGAGCTTAAAAATAAATCTTAAATATAAAAATATAAATTACCTCATTTAATCCAATTGATATAGAATAATTTTCTTGATACCAATGTGTCAAATGTCGATATTCAAGACTTGATTTATCCATTATATAATGTTTAGATGGCCACCAAAGTTCTTCTCCATCATTAGTATTGTAAAAAATTTTTTCTGATCCATATGTTGTTTTTTTTGAAGGTAGAGCTATTTGGTCTCGGATGTCAGCCAAAAATTGGACGTGATTAAATTGTTCACGTAATAAAATGTTATTGACCAAATTTTGGTATGGTTCAGATCGAGATTTTACCATAGGTTGAATGATTCCAATGAGACGTTCCATTGGAAACTGCCATGTAGTCCAACAAGGTCCACATTTGCGAATTGATTCAGCGATATGAAGAAGATAGTGAAAAGTAATGGTAAAAACTGATAATCTATCATCTTGATATTGACCATAATCTCTTAAAAATATAAAATTTAAACATTAAAATGTAATAATAATATGTAATAATAAATAATAAACAAACTTACCTCGCATATAATTCGATAAATTTGCAAAGTAATAGTTGTATATCAGTTATATCTTGAAATGTTATTGTTTTTTGACAACATTTTTGAACAGCTAAAACGTATGATGCCCATCCTACAAGAATACTAAATATGAAATCTTTAGTATTAGTTTAATTAAATCAAAAAGTAAATACAAAGAATATTTTTAACTTACGATGATGGTAGATAATTTTTTAACAAAGGTATAGAATACAATATTGTCCAATTCATCCATTCTTCAGCTTTGTAACCTTTGTGATGGTGTATGGCTACAGGTACACGACCAAAATCTCTTGGCATTTTTTTTGAGTTTTTAAACAACTCTAAACTTACTGTTTTCCAAATAGAATTTTTCAAATAATAACAAGGATCGGTATTTAGGTCTTGATGTGTTTTGGAAAAAAAGGTTCCACTCCAATGTTTGTACATAGCTGGAGTAACTCCTTCAAAAAACAAATGCATTATATCCAAAGGAAATGAAGAAGGAAATCGAATTGTTTTCAATTCAAATAAAATGCTTCTTCCTTTTATTCCTATAAATAATAAAATTAATTATTGGAAATAAATAAAATACAATTAATATTACATACCTCGCATTTGTATTTGATTATCTTGATTACTTCCTGATAATGATTCAATTGTTAATATATCATCAAGATATTCTTGATGTGTTCATAGTGGTAAATTGGATGAATCATAATGTTGTAATGGATAATAAATATGATTCATATAGATCCCACGCAAATTACAAAACCGACAAGCCATATATGAATTATGACCTGTAAGATTTGCTAATTTTGTTATAGCAGGTATATCACCAGTCCATATAATTACATGTGCATGTATTTTTAGTCTTTGTAGTGGATATCCACAATCAACTTCAATTCCATCTGTTAAATAAAAAGGTTTATTATAATTTATTAATTATTAAAATATAATTAAATATTACATACCTTCAAGTAATTTAAGTTCTTGTATTAATGGATACAAAAAACTGTTCATATTCTTAGGAGCATTAGGTCCAGGAATTATTGCTCCTACCATTAGATTTTCTTGTTTTACTCGTTCCAAAGGAGGAAGATTTCCATTAATAAAAAGAACAACCCAACAATCATCTCGTTTTTGCTTGAAAATTTGATATCCATCACATGATCCAATCAAACAAATATCATGATCCCCAATAAAAAATTCTTCGTGTAATAGATTTTTGTAAAGTTCTCCATCATAAATGTCATTTAAACTTTGTTCTTGAAATTGATAAGTTGACCGATATAACATTGTTTTAGCTCGATTAGGATCTTTAAGTTGAATACGAAGTCGATCCTGTAATGAAAAATAGATTGCTTTTTTTCGTGATTTTTGTTGTAAAGTATTAGTATAACAAAATTCATGACAATATGGACAATAATCTAAATCAGCATATAAATCAATAAAAGCACAACATGAATTAATACACATATCAATATATTGTGTATTAATTTTCAAAAGCTTAGAGATATATTGCTGTGCTTTATATAAGGATACTCCATAGCATTCAAAGATTTCCAAGATTTGTGCGTAAACAAAATCTGACATAATGCCATTTTTTGTTTTTAAATTGAGTAATTGTAATGCTTTTTTCATATTGTCATTAATATTAAACTTTAAATCTACGAAATATAAATTAATATTAAATTATTTAATTAAAAAAATAATTTTATACTTACCTGATTCATTATTTATTTCTTCAACGATATTTTCCCAATCTGAATCAGATTTTTTACTTTCAATTTCAGATTCTGAAAGCAAATAAGTTTCCAATTCTGATAATTCAGTATCTGATTCGAGGCTTGAAGAAGTTGCTATTGATACAGAATCAAATTCAATTGATTCTTGCAAGCTTTCAAAATCTGATGATGTTGTAATTAATTCTTGAATTGGAGAATTATATCTAAAATAGATAATATAATTTGTTAGTTCGAAAAGATATTATAAACAACTACAAATATTACTTTGTTTTTTTAGTTTTAGTTTCCAATGAAGTTGCACCCAATCGTATATTGATTTCATGTTCAATTTGATATTTTTTTAAATGTTTTTTATAAGTTTTTAATGCAACAGTTTTGCCTTGAGAGCTTTTTTCAATACAATCAATACATTCACAAATTACTTTACAACTTGACATTTTGCCAAAAGACGTGATAATAAATTAGATAGTTTGATTTATATAATTATTACACATATAATCACATATAATTGCACATGTAAATTGCACATAATATATTAATTATTAGTCTAAAAAGTTTATACTATACTAATTACATCATTGATCCATATAGTTTTTAGTCTAGTTTTGGCGTAATAATAAATTTATAAATCACATGTAATTGTTACAGTATTTATATAGCATGCTATATTAATTATCATCAGGAGTATATTTTTTTGATCTATTTTTGGTTATAATATAATATATTCAAGCCATAAAATTTTTACGTGTTTATTAGTAATAAAAAATTACGTGTTTGTTTTGTTTTGATCTGATGGTAATAAATTTATAAATACTTAACAAAATTTGATTCATAATGTTTATACAAAATGTCATTTGAAAATACTAATACTAACGAAGTTAATTCTTCTGTTACTAGTACTTTATTATTTCCTGCTCTTCCAGAAGACCTTGATGATAAAAATCTTTTACTATGGCTAAAAAACCAATATGATATTGTTCGTGAAAGATATCAAACAAAACTTCAACGCCCTACAAAACATCCTGTTACAGGAAAACGCCTTTCAAATATTCCACTTGCACTTGTTACAAAAGTTCCTGAACGAAGTGTTAGACTACTTAAAGTAAGAGTATTTTTTATTATTTTAAATATATTAATAATTAATATTTGTTTTTATGTAAACAGCAATTTCTTCGGAAATTATGGAAGAATAGTGAATATCGTTCAAAAAGAAGTATTAATAATATACCAGAGAACATTCAAGAAGGATGGTTTAATGAGGCAGCTGCAAAATTTAAAGAATTTTCTCATACAGAACCTAATTGGGTATATCATGAAGCACTTCGTCAATGTATAAATAATAGAGGTAAGTTGTTAAAATAAATTACTTTATTATTAATAAAGTTTCTAATTTATTATTTATTAAGTGGATTACAAAACCAATCGTCAAAAAAGAATAAATTATGCAAGAACTCGACGAGCTTTTGAAGCAGAACTTGAAGGTCGAACTTACCAATCACGCATCAACAAACAAAAGCAAAAAGGAAAAGAACAAGAAGACAATTTTAGTGAAATTTTGAGCGAAGAAGAAGAAGATGGTGATTCAAATACAGAAGAAAATAGATATGATACGAGAATCAGTATGTATTTTGTTAATTAGATAGTAGATTTCATACTAAATATATTATTTCTAAGATACATTATTAGGAATATCATCTGGATCAAATTCTTCCGAAGATGTACTGGCTCCAATTGAAGAAAAAGAAAACATCGTCCACAAGCAAAAAAAATCGCAAAGACAACAACAAAATGACTATGCAGTTTCTAGCGATAAAGAAATTTGCCAAACTGATGCAACCAACAAGCTCAAATTGAAAAAGCCTCATGATAATACTGCATCACAAAATGAGCGTTTGCTTCGTAAGTATATAATCATTTTTATATTTGATTAAGTGTTAATAATTTGATTATTTTCAATAGGATCCGCCAAGAAGACAACTTCACAAGAACTTTCAGAAGTTGGAAAGATGAACAACCTGAAGCAGTCAACAAAATCTAATTTGTCCAATGGCAAGAATAGCAAAAAATATCGTGGCAAAAAAAGGTGATAAGTGGCCAATTGTAGAAGGCATAAGGTAGACTAGTTATTGGTCGTGTGCAGTATAAGAGATGTAAAGCAATTGTATACGCAATATGTAAAGGGTTTATACGTAATACATATAGGGTTGTGTGTTCAGAATTTTACATAATATACAATAAATTTATATGGAATGAAGCTG